TTAGGGTTCGGGCGCATGGTCACCGGCTGGATGGAGCGTTACCACATCACCTCCCTGACCTTGGGGTCTTCATGGCCAGGATTTGGGGAGAAAGGGCCTGGCTGTACTGCCAGTACTGTTTTGCCAGTGTTGGTCTGATGATAGTTAACTCCATGCAGGATCTCTTCTAGGCTGGGTGTGTTTATCTCCTGTTTTTGGGTGTCATTATCTCTGTAAATCTTACGGTAATTCTGCGAGATGGCAGGTGGGGGCAGCCCACATTATAGATGAGAAAATGAGGCTCAGAGAGGTTGAGTAACTTGTCCAGGGCCACACAGCCAGGAAGTAGGTGAGTCTTCTTGACCTTAGAGCCTAGATAATGTGCACACAGCCGAGGAGGCCCTTGAGCCCTCCTTGTGTGGGGACCACGGGGCCTGTGGTAGTGCCTCTGAGGGCCCAGGCTCCATAGAGCCGGTCAGCATGGAGCCCCTCTTCTGTGTTGGGCTTTTGCTGGTGCAGAAAGTCAACAAGCTTTCCCTGGAGTTGGGAGCTGGCTTGGTCACTGGCCCTTTCCCCCAGTGAGTGGTGCTCCAGAGCCTGGGAGGAGGGTCTGGCTGCCAGAATGCTGGGCCCCACAGGGTCACAGGAGCCTGGCGGGCATGTGTGGGGGCCTCACAGAGGCTTCCCTGGCACTAGGTCCCTGGCCCAGGGTACGGAGAACTCCAGGCAGCAGCTTCCACCCTGCCACCACCCTGGGGTTGGGCGAGGTGGGCAGGGCCCCCTGGGGTGTGGTGAAGGGAAAGGCCTGGGCTCAGAGGCCGGTGGTGGGGCCTTAGGCAAGCCCAGGTGGCCTCACGCACGTGCTTAAGGAGCATAGCTCCTTGTTGGGGAGGTCTGTGTGCTGGGAAATGGTCAAGAACGGGGCAGTCCTTGTCCTTGGGAGCTGGTATCTGGGAGTTGCTATTTTAAGTCAGGAAGGACCTCACCGAGCATTTGTCTGAAGACCCAAGGAGGTGAAGGGAGGAGCCCTGAGGGGTCTGGGGGAGAGTGGTCCAGGCAGCGGGAACAGCATGTGCAAAGGCCCTGAGTCTCTCCTACAGATGCATAACTGCTCTGCTTTCCCACTGCTCTGGTGTTTCTCATCTACTAGGTGGGGTTCACCCCTGGAGCCTTGCTCTGGGCGCCGACACTAGCTCAGAACGGTGCTCAGAAAACAGCACCCCTGTTTCCACTGTGACTACCTTGATCAGCAGCTTCTTTGTTTCCATGAAGACCATGAAGGCCCTGGGCCCTGCTGCTCAGCAGTGGCTCTGGGTGTTCCCCTCCAAGCTGGGGAAGGCTGCAGCCTGACCCCCGCCCCTCTTTCAGGGTGGCCTGTGGCCCCATCCTTGGTCCCGCCCCCTCCCCCAACCCCCATGCCCTGACCTCGTGGTGCCACGAGTTGCTGTTGGCCGGATCCTGGAATCTCAGGCGCCTGGGTGAGAATTCCTCCCGGGCTAGTGGAACTGTCATCGCAGAGCCGTGCTCCCGTGTCCCAGGCCAGGGTGTCCGCCCCGTCCTTGTCCTCTGTATCCATTGTGCCGGAGCCTGCTGTGCCACACCCCCTAGCTATGGTCAGCGGCTGGGACCTCCGGCCAGCGACCCCCCTCCCAGCCCTTCACCTGCCTCCAGCTCCCTTAGGAGGGCTGACCTCTCCTCCCTTCCCCAGGCCTGTCTTCTCCCCAGGGATGGGGCCTGGGCCTGCTGCCTACCCTGCCGTGCTCAGGAACCCTGCCTAAGGGCTGTGCTTGGCAGCTGCCTGCACCGTCTGACCTGGTGTAGGCCTACCCTGGGTCCCCACCCTAGGCTGGCATCAGGCCTGGGCAGGCGACACAGAGACAGAGAGAGAGAGAGAGAGAGAGAGAGAGAGACAGGGCATGGGATGTATGCTCAGCACAGAGCAGGGGCTGGGGTCGCAGCGGGGTGGGAAGGGGTGCAGTGGGTGGGTGGGAAGCATATGGCCACGTCCCCTCTGTTTAGGCCTCAGTGTTGGGAGGTGGATGGGGATGGGGTGCCCTGGGGCATTTTCCTTCGATGGGTAATTGGGGCCTGCTTCTTAGCGCACTCCCCCCCCCTTAAAAATAATTTATTGAAGTGCAGTTCGCATAAAATGAACCATTAAAAATGAATAGCGCAGTGGCATTTGGTAGTCACAGTGTTGTCTGTCCCACTGCAGCCACCACCTCGTTTTAGTTTTAGAATGTTTCCGTCACCCCTAAAAGATACCAGGTTCCCATCAGGCAACATTCCCCATCCCCCCTCTGCAGCCCCCTGGCAACCCAGTCTTTTCTGGCTCTTTGGGTTTGCCGATTCTGAACACTTTACATAATATGGTGAGTCTTTGTGTCTGGCCTCTTTTACTTAGCATAACTTTCTTTCTTTCTTTCTTTCTTTCTTTCTTTCTTTCTTTCTTTCTTTCTTT